GGGAGGAGAGGGTGGGTGATGGGCATTGAGGAGGACACCTTTTGGGATGAGCACTGGGTGTTGTATGGAAACCAATTTGACAATAAACATATATTGGAAAATAAATAAATAAATAAATATTCAAAACAAATAAAAAAAATTTAAAAAACTCCTATAACTCAACAATAAATAAATAAGCTGATTAAAAAATGGGCAATTGACTTGAGTAGACATGTCTCAAAAGAAGATACGTAAGTGGCAAATAAGCACATAAAAAGATGCTCAATATCACTAGCCATTAGGGAAATAGAAATCAAAACCATAATGAGATACCGTCTTACACCCATGAGGATGGCCATTAGTTAAAAAACACAGTTGTGGCACCTGGGTGGCTCAGTTGGTTAAGTATCCAACTTTGGCTCAGGTTCTCGTGTTTCACGAGTTTGAGCCCCACATCACGCTCTGTGCTGACAGCTCAGAGCCTGGAGCCTGCTTCAGATTCCGTGTCTCCCTCTCTCTCTCTGCCCCTCCCCGACTCATGTTCTGTCTCTCAAAAACAAATAAAAACATTAAAAAAATTTTTTTAAAAACACAGAGTTGTAATCATCAAGACAGTTTGGTATTGGCACAAAAACAGACACATGGATCAATGGAATAGAAAACCCAAAAATGGACCCATAAATATGTGGCCAACTAATCCTTGAAAAAAGCAGGAAAGAGTATCCAGTGGAAAAAAAAAGTCTCTAGCAAATGGTGTTAGGAGAACTGGACAGCAACATGCAGAAGAATGAACCTGGACTACCTTCTTCTACCATACACACAAAAAAACTCAAATGGATGAAAGACCTAAACATAAGACAGGAAGCCATCAAAATCCTAGAGGAGAAAACATGCAACAACCTCTTTGACCTCAGCCATGGCAACTTCTTACTTGACATGTTTCTGGAGGCAAAGGAAACAAAAGCAAAAATGAAATACTGGGACCTCATCAAGATAAAAACCTTCTGCATGGTGAAGGAAACAAACAGCAAAACTAAAAGGCAACCAATGGAATGGGAAAAGATATTTGCAAATGACATTTCAAAGAAGACATCCAGATGGCTAACAAACACATGAAAAGATGCTCAACATTACTCATCATCAGGGAAATACAAATCAAACCACAATGAGATACCACTTCATACCTGTCAGAATGGCTAAAATTAACAACTCAGGCAACAAAAGATGTTGGCGATGCAGAGATGTGGAGAGGAACACTTTTGCACTGCTGGTGGGAATGTAAATTGGTTCAGCCACTGTGGAAAACAGTATGGAGGCTCCTCAAAAAATTAAAAATACAACTACCTTACAATCCAGCAATTGCACTACTAGGTATTCATCCAAAGGATAAAAAAATGCTGATTCAAAGGGGCACATGCACCCTAATGTCTATAGCAGTGCTATCAACGATAGCCAAATTATGGGAAGAGCCCAAATGCCCATCAATTGATGAATGGATAAAGAAGATGTGCTACATACAATGGAATACTACTTGGCAATGAGAAAGAATGAAATCTGGCCATTTGTAGCAATGTGGATGGAACTAGAGATTATTATGATAAGTGAAACAAGTCAGGCAGAGAAAGACGGATACCATATGTTTTCACTCATACAAGGATCCTGAGAAACTTAGAAGACCAGGGGGGAAGGGAAGGGGAAAAAAAAAGTTATAGAGAGGGAAGGAGGCAAACCTAAGAGACTCAAATACTGAGAACTAAGGGTTGATGAGAGGTGGGAGATAAGGGAAAGTGGGTGATGGGCATTGAGGAGGGCACCTGTTGGGATGAGCACTGGGTGTTGTATGAAAACCAACTCGACAATAAACTATATATATATATATATATATATATATATATATATATATATATATAAAGATGTGGTACATATAAACAATGGAATACTACTCAGCGATCAAAAAGAATAATCTTGTCATTTGCAACACAATGGATGGACCTAGAGTGTATTATGCTAAGCTAAATAAGTCAGTCAGAGAAAGACAAATGTCATGATTTCACTCATATGTGGAATCTGAGAAACATAAGAGATAATCATAGGAGAAGGGAAAGAAAAATAAGATAAAAACAGAGAGGCAGGCAAACCATAAGAGACTCTTAAATATGGAGAACAAACTGAGGATTGCTGGAGGGGAGGTGGCTGGGACGGGTGGGTTAAAGGGTGATGGGCATTAAAGAGGGCACTTTTTGGGATAAGCACTGGGTGTCATATGTAAGAGATAAATCATTGAAGCCAAGATTACACTGTATACTAATGTGAATTTAATTTAAAAAATAAAATAAAAATACAATTGCACTTATGTTTGAATACATCCTAGAAAAAAAATGTCTTGGAAAATAAAAAACTACTATGTATATTCTTCATGCTTTTCTGCCTTTCTTGAAATTTATATTTTCAATGAACATGTATTTTATAATTGAAGATAGATGTACTTCTGTTTCTAAAGAAAGAAAATATATTCAAAATCTTGGAGCAGAGTTAATCTGTCATTGTGTCAATTTTGTGGCAGGATGATGTAACTAACTTTTTTCCTTAGAACGTATTGACATTCATTTAAAGATAACGTAACACATTTGTGTTCATCAAGGTAGTCTGTGGATATGATTAAACATGAATGCCCACCTTATAGTAAGAAATAAAATGAAAATTGTAAACAAAACAAAACAGAAAAACAGACAGAAAATAGTAAGTGTTGGCAAGGATGTAGAGAAGTTGGAATGCTCGTACATTTTATGGAGAATGTAAAATAGTACAGCTGATATGGAAAAGAGTATGGCAGCTCCTCAAAAAGTTAAAAATGAGAATTACCATATGATCCAATAATTTCACTTTGAAGTATATACCTAAAAGAAGTGAAAGAAGAGATACAAAGAGATATGTGAACACCCATGTTCAAAGCAGCATTATTCACACTGGCCAAAAGATGAAGCAACCCAAATGTCCACAGACAATTGAATGGATAAACAAAATGTGGTATATACATATAAGGGAATATATTAATCCTTTAAAAAGGAAAAAAATTCTGACACAGGCTACAACATTGGTGAGGACATTATGCTAAATGAAATTTGTCACAAAAGGACAAACTCTGTATGATTCCATTTATATGAAGTATCTAGAATGGTCAAAATCATAGAGAGAAGTTAGAATAGTGTTTGATAGGAACTACAGGATGGAGAAATGGGGAGCTATTGTTTAATGTATGGAGTTTCAGTTTTGCAAGAAGAAAAAAGTTCTGAGTGAAAAAAAAAGTGATGGTTCTACAACAATATGAATGTACTTGAACTGTATAGTTAAAAAGAGTTAAAATGGTATGTTTACTTACCATATTTTACTACAATAAAAAAATGAAAAAGAATCTTTCTAATTTTTCTTCCACATATAGCACTATATAGAGTACTTCCAGCAAAAGCATGTTTATACAACAGAAAACCACAGACATCATTCCATATGTACAAAATTCTCCTGGTGTGGCACAAACAGAAAAATAGGGAGGAGGGGGAACCAGAAAATAGATACAAGTGCCAAATGCTAATACTTACCACTAAACCAGCAGTTTGCGAAGATGGAGTACTTGTTAAGAGGTCTCTGCTTTTCTTATCAGGAGTACTAGAATTTGAACTCTATAAATGTTTTGTGAAATAGGGGATTGAATAGCAGAAAGAAAGAAAAAAAATTAATACAGTAAAAACACAGTATCAAATTAGTAGACTAGATCATAATGTGTCAGACTAATAAAATTTTAATGTGCTAATTAAATTTTAAACCACTAGACAAGAAACTAAAAAATCTTCTGGCTTGAGCTAGGTCAAGAAACTCCTAAGAGAACTCTATGTAGGACAAGAACTATGCAAGAATACTTTGCGTGAAATCACTATTAATTTCAGAAGGAACACTAATTTAAGTTTTCAACTAGGAAATGGTGCTATGATTATCTTTTTTACTGCTAATAAAAAAGTATTTTACTTTTAGAATTTGTTTAATTCCTAGTATATTATTTTACTTTTTATGGAAAGGGATTTTAAGTTATTTCTGAAGCTGTTAAAAAATATGTGTAATAAGGATAATTGGTTTAAAATAATACATATAAATGTATATAGACACTTCCATATATGCAGTATCAAAGTCAGAGAAATAATAAAGGCTCAATTCCTATTTTTTGAAGATGCAAAGAATCAGACACACAGAGAGACAGGTAGACAAATCAAGAAAGAGAGAGCAAGAGAAAGACAGGATCAGAGACCTAAAAGTTTAAGAGAGAGAGAGGTAGGGATGGGGGAGGGAGGAAATGGGAAAAGGAGGAAAGGGAGAAGGAAAGGGAGGAAGAATGAGGAGACAAAAGAGATGAAGGAAAAAAAGAGAAAGAATGAGAAGAGAGAGGGAAAGAGAAGAAGGATGAAGAAGATAGAGACCAACAAACTATGATCAGAAAGAAACTAACAGAGAAACAGAATTAGAGACAGAGAAGAACAGATGGAGAGAGATCAAGACAGAGAGAGGATGAAGAGAGACAGAGCTTGAGACTGAGAGACAAAAACCAGGGAAGGCAAAGACAAACAGGCAGCTGCGAAAGAGAGTGACAGAAATATTCAAAAAGAAGACAGAAAACTTTATTTCTAGCAATCAGCTGTCTTTTCAACTGCTGGATTCCATGAAACAACTAGCGCCTCTGATAAATCTCTTTGAATAGGTGTTTATTATATGCAGCCAACTCTGGAACACAAACTCATTGTTGGAACTTGAACATCATAGGCAAATTTGTGTTAGGTTTCTTTTTTTTTATTTTCTCTTTTTTTTTTCTTTCACTCTTCCTTTCCTTTCTGGCTTAAAATCTCTTCAAATAGCTGTTTGTTCAAGACATAAGATGGGATTGTTTATTAGGAAAATTTTTATCAAAAATTTTATGTATATTTAGCTGGTACACTGTCAGCTCTTGAATTCATTAGCTATTTAATCTTTCTTCATCTGGGAAAGGGAATGATGAGGATTATTCTACCCCTAGGGATTGCTGTGCAAAGGTTACGAATAATACATGTAAAGAGAACCTACAGTGCCTACAGAGTAGGAGATATTCAATGATAGCTAGTATTTATTATTGTGGCTGCCACGGAGGTGTTCTGTTCAGACCTCCGTGAAGTGAGAACCTGCTGTTCCAATGCAAAGAGTGCAGTTACCTGACAGCGTCCCAGTCCTCCCTGCCCCCCCCCCCCCCCGCAACCCTCCCAACTTCTCTGGAATCTCTGGAAAGCTTCAGCTTTCAGGTTGAGGCCATGATCTTCTCAGGCAAACCCCAGCCAACGTTTGAGCATAGAAGCCCAATGTAAGACTCCTGTAATAGATAACCTTTGCTCCAGAGCTCCTTATGGGGAAAGCTTCTGGCACACTTGCAATGAGGGCTGAGACTATTCCTGCCCAATACTGCTTTCTCCCTATATTCCTTTCTCAGCTGTTATCCCCTCCAGTATACCACTTGAATGAACTCTTAATTCTGTCTGAATATCTACTTCCCCATGGTCCCAAGAGACATAATTGTTAACTATCAATCCACTAAAAAAAACCTGCCTATATACAGCTATAAATATAAACCTCTCTGCATTTTTTCCTAGATTTGTTAACAAATCTATGTATATCTAAATCTTTCCAATAAGTACATTTTCTGGATACAGGCTTTTCAAGAATTAGTTAAAAGAAGACCAGTGCTTACCGACGCAGATTCCATGGACTGAGGCAAAAGAACGTTGGTAACTGGTCCACCTGCACTGGTTTCAATAACAGATCTCTGGTGAGATGATGGAACCTTGATTTTTAGATGACGAGAACTTAACTTTGCTTGAAAATTTTTATCTGTATGTTCAGGATCTTTTTCAGGCTGAAATAAATTCATAATCATGAAATATACTCCATCATGAAATACATTCCATAATCATGAAATACACTGTAAAATTATTTGCAGCACTTCTCAGATGTCTTATTTTACTGTAATATTAATGTAATGATTATTACAATTAAAATAGGGTATATTTATCAATCATATAAATATTATATATATAATTCTATTCTTATTTCCTCAACTTGAAAAAGAGTTTTCAACTTAAAGATAAAGGTTTTGTAAAAAAAAGTAAAGTTTTCTACATATTTAAAAATAAAATCTATTGAAAGACAAAACAGTTTGAAATACACGCAACTCGGGGTGCCTGCGTGGCTCAGTGAAGCATCTAACTTTGGCTCAGGTCATGATCTCAAGATCCATGAATTTGAGCCCCACATTGGTCTCTATGCTGACAGCTGGAGCCTGCTTCAGATTCTAGTCTCCCTCTCTCTCTGCCCCTCCCTCATTCACACTCTTTGTCGCTCTCAAAAATAAATAAGCATTAAAAAAAAAAAAAAAAAGAAATACACACAACTCAAAAAATTTCCCTATTACATTTAAGGTAACCTCTCTTAAACAGTGTTCCATGAAAACAGATCATAATGAGATTTATCTGCCTGTCGGTAGTTCAAACTAAATTTTAGAGAAAACATCAAATGTATTTATATAAATGTATTTATTATGCAGTCATCTTCATTTAAGAAATCAAAAGTACTTTCTAAGACATCAGGAAGCTGCAACTACAAGAAAGCATGTTCCTTTACCAATTAATCCCTCCATTGAAAATTGCAGATTGGGGGCGCCTGGGTGGCGCAGTCGGTTAGCGTCCGACTTCAGCCAGGTCACGATCTCGCGGTCCGGGAGTTCGAGCCCCGCGTCAGGCTCTGGGCTGATGGCTCAGAGCCTGGAGCCTGTTTCCGATTCTGTGTCTCCCTCTCTCTGCCCCTC